ACACCAGAACTATGTGACCAGAGCTGCCAAGTTCTGCTGCCTGCTTGGGATGTAACCTAGAACCAGGACCCTTCTTGAATTGTATTGCCATGGGCTTTGGTTTGTTGTTGCTCTCTAGGGACAGGTCATTCCTAAGGGTTTTTCTTCTCACAAGATGCAGGATGAGCTGGGTGGGGCCTTGCCCTGAAGGTACTACTCACTACCAACTAAGGCTCCAACATTAATTTCTTGTGCTCTTTTTTGTCTCAAACCATACATTTGTATTTCTTTTTGCCCTGCCTGCTCTTTTTCATTGTTGGTCTGCATAACAGTGATCTCTAATAATCACACAACAGAATCAACATTAAACTGCCTTGAAATCTTCTCTGCCTATTAAAATCTATGAAATTAGTTCAAAGCTTTTCAATTTGGTTTCAGGCAGACTCTTTGGACTAGGACAGAAAGCACCCATGATTTGCCAAAATATCACAAGAACTGTCTTTAGCCTGGAAGCTAAAACCATTCCCTCTGGAGTTCATTGACCTGGGCCTCCAAAGTTTACATTGCTCTCAGCACTACTGTCTTCCAAGCTCCTATTAGGACTTCCCTTAAAGCCTTGTTTACGGCATTCAGTCACTTCCCTAGTTCAAAGTCCCAAAGTCTTCCACATTCCTCAAAAAGCCCAGAACAATCAAGCCTGTGGCAGCAATACCCGACTTCTGGTGCCAACTTATGTCTTAATTACTTTTCTATTGCTGTGAAGGGGCACCACGTCCAAGGCAACTTACAGAGGAAAGAGTTTATTGAGGCTTACAGTTTCAGATGGTGGTTCCATGGCCATCCTAGTGGGGAGCAGGACAGCAGGTAAGCGAGCGTAGTGCTGCACTGGTAGCTGAGAGCTTACATCTGATGGGCAAGCAAGAGGCAGAGGGGAATGCCACAGTGAGAGCGGACCAAGCCCACCCCCCAAGCCACACCTCCTCCAACAAGCCCACCCCCCACGCCACACCTCCTCCAACAAGGACACACGCCTTCTAGCCCTTCCCAAACAGTTCTACCAACTGGAGACAAAGCATTAAATGCATGAGCTTATGGGGGCCCTTCTCATTCAAACCATCATAACAGTGGAAGTTTTACACTGAGTCTGCATAGCAAGCAGGGGAGAGCTGGCGTCTCATAGCGTGAGTCTTCTGACCTTTGTGAACCACAAAGCCGTTTCCTCTGACCCCACCCCATGCTTCACAAACTGATTTCCTTTGAAGGCCACTCTGCCACAGAGATGAGCACTCATGTGTGTGTGGGGGGGTGTTAATATTTGTTAATTTAAAAGAGTACTTCTTTACTTTACTGTTCCTTTATAAAAAAAAACTTCCTTTTACCACTCCTATTTATAATAATGCTCAGCCAGTAAAAATGATATCATAAAAAGTTCTTCCCCCAAGGCTAGGAGGTGGTGGCACAGACCTTTAATCCCAGCACTTGGGAGGCAGAGACCAATGAATCCCTGTGAGTTTCAGGTCAGCCTGGTCTAGCAAAGTGAGTTCCAGGACAGGCTCCCAAACTACAGAGAAATCCTGTATGGAGAAACCAAAAACAAACAAACAAACAAACAAAAATGTTCTTCCCCACAAAATGTTAAATAGTCCAACTTTATGTCAATTATTTTATAAGTCAACCACTAAAAGTGGTTCATAAGCAAATTTCCTCAATCTATTATTTATCACTATATAGATGATATCTTAATAGCTGCCTATGATATTAATATCCTTAAGAAGATGTTTACTGGGTACAACAGATCTTACCTCAATGGAGACTATAAATTACTCCTAAAAATTCAAAAGAAAATTCCTTAATTATTTAAGATTTAAATTAAATTAAAAAATTCAACCACAAAATGTACAATACTGCATACTGGGATGGCAGCTCCCAGGTCTACAACCAGGGTTGAAGAAAGGAAGGCCTTCAGAGCAGTGGGGACTTAAGAAAATTTCCTCTCTGAGGGCCAGACTTCTATCTGAGTGTCAGTAAGGAAACACACATGCTTTCCTAATGGTAACCTTCTCTTTTACTTCATCTTGAATAATCTCCTTCTTGACAGTCTCTCTACCGAGTTACATCTCTTTACATAGTTATATATCTCTCTTTACATACACACATCTCTCTTCTACACAGGCACACATCTCTGTACAGTTATATCTATTTTCACACAGTTGCATTCTCCTCACAGTCTCCACATATTCTCCACACAGCTACGTTCACATTCCTCCTCTTTACACAGCCACATCTCCACATTCTCCTCACAGCCACACTTCTTCCCTCACATATATCTCTCATACGTACTCATCTCTCATCTATACAGCTACAACCTCCATGTCTCTCTACCCACTCAGCTACATCTCTTCACCCTTGTTTCTCTGCACATTCAGCTACATCTCCCTTTCAGCAGACACACACACACAGACACACACACATACACACACACACACACACCCCTCTCACATTTCTCTCCTGCTTCCTTACTCCCTACAGCAAAGCCTCTGGACAAATATGAATCACATTTTCAGGGTCACACAGCACTTCATGAGGACATATGATGCTCTCCTTCAGAGAGACAGATAGATTAAATAGGACCTGGTATGAGGAAATACTTCACTCAAAATCAACGCTGTGTAAGAACCAATACATAGAGGCAGAGACAGGCGGATCTCTGTGAGTTTGAGACCAGCCTGGTCTACAAGAGCTAGTTCCAGGCCAGCCTCCAAAGCCACAGAGAAACCCTGCCTCGAATCCCCCCAAAGAACCAGTAAATCTGCCTCTGCACGGCGTTCAAGCTTCAGTTCATCGGAGACTGAACCTTCTTGCTGCCACACAGCCCGCAGAATTTCATCTTGAAATGACCTCTTTCTTTGACCAACCCACACAACACAGACGCCCGGACAGATATGAATGTCGGAAAGGGACCTGGGCGGGGGTGACAAAGACAGGAGGAAGATAAAAGAGGGTAGAGAGTTAGAGTAAGCATAATGCAGCATTATACTGCACGATACACAAATATGAAATTGTCAGAGAACAAATTAATCATTGTCTTAACAGAAGGTTAAAGAAGCTAGAGTTATTTAATTTGCAGGTAAAACCACCACCCTGTCAAGTAGCAAGCTTACCACGGAGACCATTCATGGAGGTGCCCTAGAGTCCACATTAACTTCGGTGAGGGAGGGAACAAAGACAGAGAGCTGACAGACGGGGAAAGGACGTGGGGAGAAATGGAGTCATCAAAGGATGACCCCAAAATCAAAGAGCAGGTACAATGGGAATGATGGTGGAAATGAGGTAATGGGAAATTGTGGCAAGAAAAGGGAATACTGGATTTATTTGAAGATTTTGAAGTAAAGCCATTGCCAGAGATAATGCCTCAAGAGTTGGTGTTAAGCCCATGCAAATAAAGGTGTGAGGCTGGAACACTGAATCTTAGAGCAAGGCCACTGGCTGGAGTAGCGGAGGATGTCCAGGAACGATCTGCGAACAGCTGTGAGGAGCATAGACAAAGGTGCCAGAGACCCTCAGCTTCGGGGTGCATGGGGGACAGCGGAGTATGAGGGCAAGCCTCCTATCTTTGGAAGGATTTAAAAAGACAGCAGACTCTGAATTGGAGATTTTTAAAAACCTGAAGTTTAAGTTTTATGTTTTTCTGTAAGAGACGGAGAACTTTCAATACTAATCTGACATCGTGAGTTATAATTCTCAAGTTAGGTTCTATCAATGAGTTACAATTAGTCTCTTTTCCCCCTGAAAATTGTTTTATCCTGATGAGGGCCAGTAATAATTTGCTGTAGTTTTTCTTTTCCTAATTTTATCAACGGCTTGCATGGTCAACATAATCTGGTATGTAAATACCTATCAGTTTAAATGACATAACAGATTACAAATTTTTACACTTCTTTAGTGTCATTAAACATAAATAATGACTTGTTCTGTCTTTAGGATTCAATAAATAATAAGCAACAGTTGACAAGAGTCAGCAACTGGGTAATTACAGGCATAAAAGTTTTTGTTGTTGTTTAACAAAAACAAAAATCCTTCCAGCTTGGATCTTATCAAAGACTGTTTTCTCAGTGTAAGTAACCAGTGATGTAGAGATCGAGGAGGTTTTCAAATGATAGAACATATTTTAGATAGATTAGTAACACATCACATTGTTGGCTTGAGTGAAGCAAATGGAAAAAAGCTGCCTCCCACTCCATAATGGTACAGCCTCCCTCAGCCGATATGACTATACCCAGCAACCATGGCAATCGGTGCCAGGCTCCAATCATTTGCGGGAATTCGGGCTGGTGTGCATTTGAAACCCCATTTTTGAACCCATACATGTGCCTTGAGATATTCGGCTGTTGATGAGGTCAGTGATTGCTGACTGACCTTGGGTGAGCCCTCTACACCTGGATCCTCTCTGGACCAGCTATGGTGACAGCGGAGGTTTGGAGTTTGGTGAGGATCGCTGTGGCTCCTAGAGTCTGTTCCAGAGCTTCACTAAGTGTCTGTAGCCTGAAAACTGAAAAACAGACTAGGAGAGCTCAGGAGTGGACACAAGACAGGGATGGGACTTGTAAGGACAGCCTCCCCTCCCATGCCTGCCAGTTCACTCAAGCTAAGCCTCACAAGCCCCTGTTGCCAGGTTGCAGCAGCAGCTCAAACTCACGCGGAGTTCGGTTTCCTAGGCAACTACCATGATTTCCAGTCTGACTCTCGCTCTTGGTTGGCCAGACGCCTGCTTCCATCACGGGAACACGGTGGATTCTGCAAGATGGAGAGTGAAGGTTCTCAGTGGCCAGCTGCGGCCAGGGTCGAAGTCCAGCCGCCTGAGGTCCTGAGTCCGGACGGTCCCTGCGGGAAGGTGGTGCCAGGAGGGACCTTGGAGCCTGGAGAAGCGGGAGCACAGAGCCCCGAGAGTCCGTCCGCCGCCGCGAGAGCTCGCCACAGCTGCCGACCTGGAGCTGGACGTGAAGACCGGGAGCGCGGGGCCCGCGGCTGCTGCACAGCGGCTCCACCTGACGGAGACCCCGGCGGAGAGCGAGCTGGCCTCGGGGACCTCCCGGAGGAGTGGCCGGGCCAGGAGCACGCTGCGCTGGTTCTCCACCGCGGTCCTGTATGCAGCCTTCCTGGGGCTGGTGAGAGCTGAGGCTGTACCCCTCCCAGAGTGGGGTGCGAGCCTCCTGCAGGGGATCTGCTCTTTCCCCTGGACTCACCTTTCCTGTCTCATGTTGTGTGACCTTGGGCACTTTAGTTTCATCCACTAATACAGTTTTAATCATGAAGGGCCACTGTCAAGAACGCGGTTGATTTTGTCTAACAAGTTTTCACCACACAGTCTGTCTTCTTAGGGTCCCTCAGAGAACTGGGGAGACTGAAAAGAGGTTGCCAAGGTCTGTAGCCACTGCTCTCTGCTCCTTAATTATTATACAAAAAAAATCTACTTTGGGGAGAATTTTCTCTTTCTGGTGGCTTGACTAAAATACACACAGGTTGATTTTGCAGACAGCGAAGTAATGGCAAGGGGCGGGGTGGGGGGATCATTTTTCTGGGCTATACAGCTGGTAAAGCTGCAGAGCGGAGAACGCCTCTTACTCTGCCCACGACCCTCTTCAAATCAACGCCTCCATTGCATAAATGATTTTCACAGAGCAAGGAGCAAGGCTAGAGTGCTTTTGGCAAACCTTTGAGCTGTGCATTTAATTCAGTATTTGTGGCAAACTTCTCCCCTCTCCATTGCTTCGTGATTGTGATCCGGGGGAGTTGGGAGAGCGAGTCCTCTGAGCCACAGTCATTTCTTAGGTTGTACTGATGGCTCTGGAGAAGGAAATCGCTGCATGTGCTTACTGAGCACTCACTGGGCGGGTCCTGAGTCCTTGGAGACAGGAAGTTCCCCTTTCTAGTATGAGCTGCTTGCTGTGCACCTGGGCTCACGCTGGTCCCTAGTCCTTGACGAATCCCGCCTGTGTAAGGCACACACTTGCCTGTGGAGCAGAGAGGTGCATTTAGAATCAATAGCTCTTGAAATGTTGTTCGGGATATTTGATCATACTGTGACACTACAGGCTCTTAATATAGTTGACCTTGAATCATAAGGCAGAGTCAATGACCAGAATAGCTATAGAGATTTTGGAGGACTCAGGATACGGTTTGATAGAGAGGCACAGGCAAGTGTAGGGAAGGGACTTAGAGGGAATCTGGGGCCCTTTTTGATCTGGGAAGTGTGGAGAGAGAGGGTCAGCTGTTTGTTCCTCTGCTGCGTTTTTGATCTACCAGGTTTTTAACCCCAGTATCTGACTCCTGAGCTTTTATTAATAATAGAACCATTTAGATAAATGCTTCAAAATGTAAATGAATTGGAGACTTTATTTAAGAGTCCAAGGAATGTCTTCTAAAGGCCATCTTGTTAGCCTTTAGGTCTTGCTATACCCTCTAAAAAGAAGAGCCTGGAAACATCCATTGCACTTTCTTTATACAAAGTAAAGTTGCAGGAACATCTGTGTCAGTATCTATAGGCGGAACAAAATGTCACATGTAGAACAAAATGCCACGTGTAGGAGGAGCATTTTTATTGTAGCTCATTTACCACCTTGGCCCATTTCTGGGCATTGGCAGTGTAGCGCCTGGGCTACAGCACTTCTCAAGGATTCAGGCAAGGGCCCGAGGAGAGTTGGTTCAATGTACCAGGGAGTCAGTATGATGGTCACTAGGAGGATAGTGCCAAGAAACTGAAATGGATCAAGATAAAACAATAAAATTCATGCAGTAGATGCCCAGTAAAATTAGACTCCCATTGGTCTTGCTTGCAGGATGGTTATCAAGGCCCATAGTTAGCTGTTAGGTCGCCTGATGTAGCCAGGTGGTGGTGGCCCACACCTTTAATCCCAGCACTTAAGAGGGAGAGGCAGGGGGATCTCTGAGTTGGAGGCCAGATTGGTCTACAGAGTGAGTTCCAGGACAGTCAGGGCTACACAGAGAAACCCTGTCATGGGCGCGGGTGGGAGGTGGGGGTAGGGGTAGGGTGGAGGGTGTGGGTAGGGATAGGGAGGGGTGGGATTGGGGTGGCTGCTTGATGTAAAGAAGTGTCCAGGTTTGGCGAGGTGGTACGCACCTGTAATCCCAGCATTTTGAGAGTGAGGCAGAAGGATCATGGATTTAGGGTCATCCTCAGCTACATGTCAAGTTTGAGGCTAGCATGAGCTACATGGGGTTCGACCTCAAAAACGAAACAAAAATCTTCTGTTTTCCTGAAGAAAATTACTAATTCTGTAAGTTCCACAGACAGCACAGCCCCAACAACATTGAATTTAATCTGAAGTCCTACATGCATTGGGGTTAAGGACTGGCCTGAAGCATGGCAGAGGATGCCTGTAGTCTGAAGTCCACAATAAGACACAAAACCAAAAAGAGTATAAATGCTTCAAAAAGAAAAAGAGCTTTAAAAACTTTTGACAGCAGACTAAAAATCAGCACTTAAGTTTTACCAAATTTCAACACTATTGTGGTTTCATCTAATTAAACTTTCAAAACACTGTGAATTAATTGTGCATGCCCTCACTGTTGTCACTCCCCGTCACCACCAAGTTTGCCCAACACTTTGAAATGGATACACAATTAAAACCTTTAAAAATTCCAAATGTACTCTACATATTACACTTTTCTTATGGGCTGCGCTAGTATCTTTTATGGCAAGATTCCAAAACTACTGTATAAATGCATGGTAAAATCAATAACTTGCTGCTGTGGAGATGAAGAGTGCAGAACTCTTGCTGGGGCCACAGTTGGTTTCCCAGCATCCAGGTCAGGCTGTTGGCAAGGACCACTAACTCCAGCTGTGGAGCCTGATGCCTTCGTCCCTTTAGGCACGTGCGCACCTCCCCTCCACAGCACACACATTCACATAATTAAGAAAACAAATATTTTGTTAAAAATTGACAGGCACTGGATTGACTCCCTGAAATTAAGACTGTTACAAAAATCTCTCGGGTTTTTAAGATTGGAATGTGTAATTTTAAGTTTATTTTCCAGAGGGAGAAAAATTTCTTCTCTTTTAAAGGTTTATTTATTTTTATTTTTATATGCATTGGTGTTTTGCCTGCCTGCATGCATGTGGGAAGGTGTCAGATCCCCTGGAACTGGAGTTACAGACAGTTGTGAGCTGCCATATGGGTACTGGGAATTGAGCTCAGGTCCTTTAGAAGAGCAGACAGTGCTCTTAACTGCTGAGTCATCTCTCCAACCCCAAGAAAAACTTCTTACAAATTGACTTCTTTTGTCATTTTGTGATCCCCTGATGACCAAAGTCTAAACAAATTATGTTTCCGTTTTCTGTCTTAATAAAAAGCTAAAATAAAATTCCTTTCTTCCCCCTCTCTACCCCTCCTCCCTCCTCTTTTTGAAAAATCTCTGTCCCAGGCTGATCCTGAATTCATTCTGTAGTTGATAATGGCCTTGAACTCCTGATCCTCCAGACATCTCCTCCAAGGTGCTGGGATAATAGGTATGTGCCAACATGTTCAGTTTCTGAAGTACTGTGGATGAACCCAGGGTTTTACAAAGCTAGGCAAGTACTCTACAAACTTTGCTAAAACTTCCAAACCAAGAACTAACACACTAACCAAAAACTATTAACTTTGAAGTGCAGATCTTGCAAGCCTACTGAAAAGCATGACAAGTAAGCTAGTCACTGAAATTCTACTATGGATGAATACATTGCTGAAATCTGTGCAATGTTTTCTTTCCAACTGATTTATATGACACCACCTTTGGGTCATTTTAAGATTGGCCATGGAGTTCTGACTTCCATTTGGACTCCATTTCTCGGTTTTGGCTTCAGCATCTGCTTCTTCCACTGTTCTCGTGCTCTGCAAACCCCCAAGTATTTCCAAAAATCTCCAAACTATCAGAATTTCTCTGAAGCGCTGTCTGGCATCCTACTGCTGACGCACACTCTGGGTGTAGGAAGCTAAGCGGTTGTGAAAGGAGAACACAGTAGGCAAAGACCTGCCCCTCAGTACTATTCACGCTCCTCCATGCTGAGGCCTGCTGAGGCCATGCTGAGGCCTGCACATGCTGGAGCAAAGGTCTAAGGATGCTACACTAACAAGCAACAGCCCATTGGTTCTGAGAGATACGGTCTGCATCCCCAGTATGACTCATCCTTCAGGAAAACCCAAGCGAAGGGCACCCAAAATTCTAGATTTTAGGATACAGGTTACAAATTATTTTGTGTGTGTGTTAGCACCATGGTGTGCTCATGGAGGCCAGAGGACATCTTGAGGGAGTCCATTCATGCCTTCCACTATGTAGGCCCCAGGGACTAAATTGAGGTTCCTATTGAGCCATCTCTTTGATTCAGAAAAATCTAGACATAGCATCAGAAATCTCTTGTATGAGAGTAGACTCCAAACACCTTTAATTTACATGGAAAAGCTCACAGATAAGAGTCATCAACACAGGGCCATGTCTTCTGTATTCTCACATACAGCCGGACTGCCCCAGTGGCCATCACTTGCCTTAACTTGAGACATGCACTTAATGATTGAACAGCATTTGTTGGGTGAGATGTAACTTTTGATCTTCTTCTTCTTGCACAAACATTAAAGTGTTTGGCACCTTCAACAGCTCCTACACCCCAATTCCATTGCAAGCAGTGAATTGTAGAAAGTTCTCGGCAGCAGAACACAGCTCACCATTATGAAAAAGCCTCAGTATCATGCAGGCTGGGTATGGACACAGGCTCAGCAGTCAGAGAAAGACTCCCAGGAACCACATCAGCTCCTGGCTGCTCTCTGCTGGTGGTGACCAAGGAGGCTCCATTTTCTCAGGTTGTCTGGTAACAGGAGCCACATGATTTTAGACAACTCAAAAGCCTTGATACATCAGGCTTGGCATCCACATCGCTGGATGCTTGCAGATCAAGTGCTGGCTGGTCCTGTGAACAATCACATGGTCCTTCCTTTCCCCAGGGAAGTTCCCTTAATGTGTGCAAAGCATGTCTGGAGAAACAGCAGTATTGTCATGTTCTGCTGGGGTTGAAACCTGAACCTCCAGCCTCTTCCCCCTGAGCTGCACCAGCCCCTGGGGCGTCTTTCGATTGGAGCCTCACTGTGCAGCAGCAGCAGCTGAGGGAAGGGGCTGTGTGGAGCAGTGTTCTCTTCATCTCCACACCCAGCCCCAACATGGAGGGAGGAGTCCACAGCACTAACGTTGCTCACTAATTTATGGAAATACCAATCCTCCCACTCATCTTTCAGAGGGGCTTCTCATGCCCTTGAAGCTCTGGAGCGTCTGATTGGCTGTAAGATTCCTCCTTCCCCTAACTTTAAGTGTTCATCACAAATGCCATATAACCAGCACCCCAAAGCTACAGAGCCCAAACTCCCAGGAACCC